CACACACAGGCAATTTTAATTTTGAATTTGAAGGTTAGGTTATTGACAATTCGACAGTTTCGTGTCATTATTGTAAATTTTGTGTTCTTAAACCCTTCTTTATTATATTTTGAAATAAATACACTCATAACTTCAATGTTAATTTGTATGTTTAGTGTTGACGATAACAAACGAAAATAAATACAATAATAAGTAAATAAATAAATAATAATAATTATTAATTTAAATTTACCGCCAAAATATCTAGTGATATTTTCTGGTGATTTTTCCTAGTGTAAATCTGACTTTCGCGTTTATTCCTCCTGGTTTAGAAACAGAGTATACCTATCGAGAACTTAGACCAATAAGCATATTACCGGTATTATCAAAGGTGTTGGAGAGGGTTATATACAAAGAATTGTTTGCGTTTTTGGAGGAAATTGATCTCTTACCATGTTGTCAGTCGGGTTTTAGAGAAGGACATAGATGTTGCACAGCTTTAATAAGGTGACTGATGACAGTGATGACATACTGACTGCTACGGATAGGGGAAAAATGACAATACTCGTGCTACTTGATTTCAGTAAGGCCTTCGATATGGTTAGTCACGATACTTTACTTAATATTCTGTCCAGGATGGGGTTTAGTGCGGTGGTTTTGAGTCTTTTTAGGCGGTACCTTTGTGACAGGTGAAGCAAAACCTTTCTTAACGTAGTCCTGTTTTTACAGGAGTACCACAAGGGTCGATTCTCGGACCCCTGTTGTTTTCTATATACACTTCGAAGTTATTGAAGGACTTAAAGTACTGCACATATATGTACGCTGATGATACGTAGTTGTATGTGTCTTTTGCACCGGACGACACGCAAACAGCTCTCCAGAACCTAAATAGTGACTTAAATCAATGGTATCAATTAACACTAAAGTATAATCTCCACTTAAGCAATTTACTCGGTAGTTCTTTGGTGATCAAATCGCTTAGTCCACAGTTTACAATTAATATTAATAATNATAAATAATAATTATTATTAATTTAAATTTACCGCCAAAATATCTAGTGATATTTTCTGGTGATTTTTCCTAGTGTAAATCTGACTTTCGCGTTTACTCCTCCTGGTTTATAAACAGAGTATACCTATCGAGAACTTAAACCAATAAGCATATTACCGGTATTATCAAAGGTGTTGGAGAGGGTTATATACAAACAATTGTTTGCGTTTTTGGAGGAAATTGATCTCTTACCATGTTGTCAGTCGGGCTTTAGAGAAGGACATAGCTGTTGCACAGCTTTAATAAGGTGACTGATGACAGTGATGACATACTGACTGCTACGGATAGGGGAAAAATGACAACTACTTGATTTCAGTAAGGCCTTCGATATGGTTAGTCACGATACTTTACGTAATATTCTGTCCAGGATGGGGTTTAGTGCGGTGGTTTTGAGTCTTTTTAGGCGGGACCTTTGTGACAGGTTTCAGACGGTTAAGGTGAAGCAAAACCTTTCTGAACGTAGTCCTATTTTTACAGGAGTACCACAAGGGTCGATTCTCGGACCCCTGTTGTTTTCTATATACACTTCGAAATTATTGAAGGACTTAAAGTACTGCACATATATGTACGCTGATGATACGTAGTTGTATGTGTCTTTTGCACCGGACGACACGCAAACAGCTCTACAGAACCTAAATAGTGACTTAAATCAATGGTATCAATTAACACTAAAGTATAATCTCCACTTAAGCAATTTACTCGGTAGTTCTTTGGTGATCAAATCGCTTAGTCCACAGATTATAATTAATATTAATAATGTTACTATTCCGGTAAGTGATTGTGTAAAAAACTTGGGTGTTATCATGAATAACTCATTTAGACACAAAGAGCAGATTTCGTTATTTATGCGTAGAGCATATGCCAGTCTTCGTGCATTATCGTCGCTCCTTGCCGTTAACATTAAAGAAACAGCTGTGTGATTTACTGGTTTTATCCCATTTTGCCTACTGCGCTCCGGTTTACCATGCTATTGATAGTATTGATACTCTACGCGTTCGAAGAGTGTAGAACGCTTGTTTGAGGTTTGTATACGGTATTCGAAAGTATGCTCGTATTTCGCATAAACTTCGTGACATTGGTTGGTTAAATATGTTTAATAGACGTAAATTGCTAACGCTCTGTCTCTATTATAAGATTTTGACCAGTGGGAAGCCTTCCTACCTGACAAACAAAATAAGATATCGTTGTGATGTGCACAATCTGAATACGAGGTTCAAAGGTAGAATTTCTCCTCCTAAGTATAAGTTGTCACTATTTAGAAGATCATTCACATACCAGATTTGTGTACTTTACAACGATTTGCCTGATGACCTAAAGAGGTTATATCTCAGAGCTTTTAAGTCTACCCTTGTCAACTTGCTAATGAGAGATCAATAGTTTTTTCTTCTATTTTTTTTAATTTATTTTTATTTGTATATGGTGTGCCTAGTATCTTTTACCTTTATTATTCTCGGTTGTCTCGGTCTCACTTTTGATGTGCCATCTGGTGTACAGATTTTGATGGCCTTACATATTTTATTTATACATTGTAATTAAGTTTATTTAAATCAATAAAATGCATTATTATTATTATTAAGAACTTTATTGGTGAAAACCCCAACTTTGTACATTTTGATGATTTAAGCTTTCTAAGTTGGTAATAACACAGTATTTAAGAAAATTGTTTTTATGAGTCATTTTTCAATTGCTTTTACAATGTTTTTTGTTCAAAACTTATTTTTCTATCATGTTTCATTTTGAATTATTTGCTAGTTAGTTTCCTATTATTAGGCGTAGAAAACCCGTAGTATTACCTCGTACGCTATTATCTTTACATCTTCTTTTATCTTATCTGTGTAATTTAACCTATAAGTTAGATTCCATCTACATAAATTTGTCATATACAAAAACCTTGGAAACTAATAAACAATATACTCTATCCATCTCAATTAATCGAATAATCAAAATATGATTTTAAATAATATTTTAATGATAATATTCTTAAGTAATCCTATAATAGGAGTGAATTATTGTTCTAATCAATTAAAATGTCAAGGAGTAACAAATTCGGGCTGCCAATGTAGTTTTGCATCATCATGCAAAAAACCCAAAGTACATGCAACCACCGATGAAGTAAAACAAGCGGTGAGTACGTAGATATGTTTATAAAAATTGTGTATTAAATTAAAATTAATATTCGTTCCAGCTGATGGTCATAATAAGTTACGTGAAAAAGTGGCAAACGGTATGGAAAATCGCGGTGGACTCAGCGGTACCGCTGAGTTAATGTACGCTTTAAAATGGGATAATCAACTTGAATACGTGGCAACATGTTGGAATAAGCAATGTCAATTTGATCATGATAAATGTCGATCGACGGAAGAATTTCCGAAAGTGGGGCAAAATCTTTATTGGTCATCGGGACAAGCTTGCGATTGGAAACGAGATTTAGATGCTGCTCTACAAGGGTGGTATGATGAAGTGAAGGATATGAGTGATCAATGTTTGCATCAATTTGGAGTTGGATGTGATACAATGAAAGTTGGTCATTTCACTCAATTAGCTTGGGGTAGCACTGCCCGGGTTGGATGTTCTTTAGTTGAATATGACGGGCAATGTCAAATAGCTTGTAATTATGGTCCTTCCGGAAATTTCCAGGGTCAACCAATGTATGTTCGTGGCCCTGCAACTTGCGAATTTGATAGCGTAAAGTATAAAAATTTGTGTCTGCTACGTGCTGACGATGAATCAGGGGCTAAAAGAATTAAAGGAATTTACAAAAATTTATATCTAATAATATACTTAATAATTGTTATTGGAATTTATTATTAAATAAAGATCCAAGGATGTTTCGGTGATTAAAAATTGAAATCTTGTCAATTACTATTGTCAAAACGTTATTCCAAAATGAATTTTATCTGGATTCTTTTATTCTTACCATTCCATGAAGTTTTAGCAACAGAGTATTGTTCAGATGTCCTGAAATGTAACGGTATAACAAATTCAGGTTGCGATTGCAACTTCGGACCGAATTGCCAGGCCCCAAAAGAACACACAATAACCGATGCAATTAGAAATAGTTTACGTAAGTACTAAAACAATGTAAGTCACACCACTCCATGATCTATTTTAGTGGTTGCTCACAATAAATACAGAGAAAAAGTGGCTTCGAATGACGAAAAGCGTGGAGGTATACAAGGCGGTGCAACCAAAATGTACGCTTTACAATACGACAAGGAGTTAGAGTATACAGCCACATGTTGGAACAAAAAATGTACTTTTGCCCATGACCAATGTCGAATAACCGAAGTTTTCCGGCCCGCAGGACAAAACCTATATTGGTCATCGGGAAAAGGATGCAGTTGGAATTTCAACTTAAATCAAGCAACTGAATTATGGTATGATGAAGTTAAAGACATGACGAAAGAATGTTTTGAAGCTTACGGTATAGGTTGCGAGTCGTCCAAAGTTGGACATTTTACGCAAATGATTTGGGCTGAAACAACTCACGTTGGTTGTTCTTTAGTGGAATACGCCGGACCAACATGTCAACTTGCTTGTAATTATGGACCGGCTGGAAATTTTTTAAAGGAGGAAGTATTTAAACGTGGCGTTCCAGCTTCGGAGTGTGATTTTAAAAGTAAGGTTTACAAACATTTGTGTTTGTTATCCAGCGACCAAGAAGAAGAAGACGAGAAAAATATACAAGAACGTGGAATTAAAGATCGAGATACAGGACAACCTAACATGACGATTGTTAGATCTTCAGCTGATGTTATTAGAATGAATCGGCAGAAGTTTATTTTTAAGTTTTTAATGATTTTGAGTTGTTTTGTTCTCTTGTAATTTATTTTCATGTTAAAAAAATAAATTATTTTTCGGAAATTTGAACTTTACAGTAGGAAGTATACCAGGAATTTCATATAACTCGCAATATAGGAATACAGTAACTTTAGTTACGAAACTACTATGCACTTGCAGTATCCCACAAAATACAACATAGCTTAATAGTACAGGTATTGGGTAGTTTTGCAAAAGAAAAATGTTGCTTCGAAAAAAATAGCGTCCTTATGATAACCCTGAGTTTTCGGCCGTCTTAAGAGGCGCACGGCTAAACCCGAATGTTTCTGGTTCTAGGTCTAGTTGTTAGTTCTACTTTTCGTACAATAAAAATATACTACAATCTAACGTTAAATAACAATTAACTTGTGTTAGTTCTGTTGATAGTGCTAGTGTAAAACTAGAACTAACACTAGACTAACTTGTGTCTTGTGTTAGTTCTAGTGATAGTGCTAGTGTAAAACTAGAACTAACACTAGACCTAGATCTAGAAACATTCGGATTTAGCCGCATATCTTTCAAGACGGCTAACCCGAATGATTCTAGATCTAGGTCTTGTGTTAGTTCTAGTGATAGCGCTAGTGCAAAACTAGAACTAACACTAGACCTAGATCTAGAAACATTCGGATTTAGCCACACGTCTTTCAAGACCGCTAAACCCGAATGATTCTAGTTTTAGGTCTTATATCAGTTTTAGTGACAGTGCTAGTGCAAAACAAAAAATTAACACTAGACCTAGATCTAAAAACATTCGGATTTAGCCGCACGTCTATCAAGACAGCCAAACCCGAATAATTCTAGTTCTAAGTCTTGTCTTAGTTCTAGTGATAGTGCTAGTGCAAAACTAGAACTAACACTAGATCTAGATCTAGAAACATTCGGATTTAGCCGCACGTCTTTCAAGACGACTAAACCCGAATGATTCTAGTTCTAGGTCTTGCGTTAGTTAACCTGGTTAAACCTCGATTTGTCGTAAAAGGATTTGAAAAAGGATTAGAGCACAGCCCTAAGTTTTCCATCAATTGCCCTTTGTAAGATTGCAGCTTTGATTTCTTGGTGATCTGATGAACCGAAACCGTAGTGTTAGATTGCGCTCTCATTTTATCAAAATAAAAAGTGTAAACTTAGATCTTCAATAAAAAATTAATTCGTTTCTGTTCTGCACTATTTACTTTAGAATAATTCTTTATTGAAATTTATGTTGTATTCATACAAAAATTATAATAAATTAGACAATATAAAACGAAGAATTTAAAAGAAAATTAACGCAGTAACTATTAATAGAAAATATTTATGAAACTCTAATTGCTTATTGGCATCATTTGTTTCTTGGAAACTATTACCACTTCGACTTTCACCATGTACCATGAACCCTACCGATTTTTTAGCAATGGCTTGATTTAAATTTTTAGCACACAAATGTTTGAAATTAGCACTTCTATATTCGCATTCCGACGCTGGTTCGCCCTGCACAAAAACCTTTTCCGTTTGATAATTTCCAGCCGGACCATAATTGCAAATTAACTGACACGTATTGTTAGAGTACGACACCAAAGAACAACCAACGTGCGTTGTTTTCGCCCAAACCAATTGGGCGAAATCGCCGACTTTAGCTGCAACACATCCGGTTGCATAACCTCGAACACAATCGTTGGTCATTTCGTTTACTTCTTCGTACCATAAATAGATAGCCTCTTTAAAATTTTCTTTCCAATCGCACGTTGCTTTTCCCGAAGCAAAATATAAATTTTGACCCGCGGGTTGAAAATCTGGGGTGCTTCGACACTTATCGTGAGAGAACGTACATTTTTTATTCCAACAAGTTGATGTGTATTCTAAATCTTTATCGTATTCAAGTGCGTACATATCAGATGCACCGGTTGTTAACCCACCACGACTTTCACTACCAGAAGCCACTTTTTCCCTGTATTTATTATGAATCTCAACTAAAATATTCGAGAATTTTGAAATAAATATATTAAATAAGTTTTACTTTTACCAATAAAGTTTCGTACATCGTCAGATGGTTCAATATTTTTTGGATTATTACAAGCTCCCCCAAATTCGCAATCACAACCAGAATTTACAACACCATTACAGCTTAAAGCATTGTCGCAATAATCCAGAGCTTTTCCCGATATCATTAAAAAATTAATGGAAATAATCACGAATATCTTAATCAACGTCATCTTGAATGATTTATTTCGATTTGACAAGAAACAAATTGTTTCATTAAAAATGTTATTAACTATTTTAATGTTTCGATTTTCTTTAACCATCGTGGAATCAACCAGCATAAATATAACGATGAATAATGATTATTGTCAAATGAATTGTGTTGATCCTTTTACGAATAAACTTTATAAACATTCAGCTTGTGAATGTAAAAAAGCTGAGACCTGCAAAAATACTTTAAAAATTTTAGATCCAACTGAAGAAGAAAGAACAATTATACGTAATTCTTAATCAATCTCTATATTCTTTCAATAATCTCTTTATTTTAGTTAATGCTCACAATAGATTGAGAGATAAAGTTGCGGGTGGAATGCATAATAAACGAGCAATTAGAGGTGGAGCAAAAAAAATGTACGCTTTGTCTTACGACTACAATTTAGAATATGTCGCGGAATGTTGGGCGATAAAATGCCGAAGCAGCCATGACAAATGCAGAAGAACTGAAATGTTCGCAACGGTTGGACAAAATTCTTTTTCGATCATTGGACAATCATGCGGAACACAAGTATTTCTTCAAGCTATCGATACATGGTTTGATGAAATATCCGGAATAACATTAGGGTGCGTTTTAGGACACGGTTCTTGCATGTCCGTGGGACATTATACCCAGGTAATAATAACAATAAAAAAAGTAAACACAAGTTTTATTTATAAACAGATTTCTCAATGGAATGTTATCGCTCAATGTTGATTAACCGTAACACAAACGTATCGAATTTTATGATTTACGATTCAGTCGGAAAAATAAGCAATTTCGATTTCACAACGTCAATTCAATACGAAACATTTCTAAATTAATTTTTATATTAACTATTTTTAGATGGTGTGGTCGAAAACGACTCACGTGGGTTGTGCGAGAGTTCAAATGGAGGCGAAAATCTGTAACGTTTTTTGCAATTACGGACCGGCAGGAAATAAGCAGGGTCATCCAGTTTATACGATAGGACCCCCAGCAATAGATTGTATAGTAAAAGATCCAATTTATAATCATCTTTGCGCTATGATACCGCTTTCACGGCATTACCCCAGTAATGGTAGCAAAATATTTAAAAACTTATCAAACTGTTTTGTACCGTTGCTGTTATCAATGTTAAAAAAATATTATATATAAGTAGTGTGTATATATTTACAAAAGTCAACCATAACTATCTTAAATAAATAAAAAAGCGTAGTTTAGTTTACTCAGTTGGAATGTTGTGAAATTTATATTCCGGGAATTTCATATAACTTGCAATATATGAATGCAGTAACCATAGTTACGAAACTACTATGCACTTGCACTGTCCCACATAAAATGCAACATAGCTTAATAGTACAGGTATTAGGCAGTTTTGTAAAGGAAAAGTTTTGCTTGGAAAAGGTGACGTTCTTATGGTAACTTTGAGATTTCGCCTCTTAAGGTGCTGCTTGGTCTAGCGTTGCATAACAATTAAAACTAGAGCTAACACTAGACCTAGAACTAGAAACATTCGGGTTTAGCTAACGTCATCGATAAGTACTCGCCACTGCAGGATTACATACACTAATAGATAGTGTATGTCAACATTCGACACCTTCCTTTTCGATCCCTGAGCGGATGTGATTTATTCAAAATAAAGCCATTGTAGACAGCAATAATATTCATAAATAGTAAAATGTAGGGCTACCGCATAGTTCTTTAAGCTAAACAATAATTAGCTACCAGTCTGTAACAATCCAATAAGTTTCTTTTTATGCCTTTCGCTAACAATATCATCATTATGCTGGATGGAAGTTTTTGATATATATGAAACCATAGTGATGCTTCATGCACCTCGCAGAACTTATATTGGTGGCTATTTCAGAAGAAATATTAATCATGTGCATCAAGTTGGATGTTTGATACTTCTCGAGTTTGTCCTCAAAAGTATCTTCCATTTCTGAAAATATTTTCTCAAATTATCAGCTTCGTCACCGATTTGAAAATTACAGCTGACATACTCCAGCATTCAGCTAATGTTTAGTTATGATGCGTATCCCTTTCTCTTTGCCAGCACTTTTAGTTCTTAAAATTATCGGAAGTGGGCATTTTCTCTTGGAACTCAATATCTTTGACTCTAGAGAATAACTACTATTTATAATAATGAAACAGTAATGAAGTTGTTTTATTATTCTTTCCATCATACATTTGGGGAGGTCTTTAGAAGACTACAATAATAGATACAAGTGTAACAGAAAATCCTCTAAAATACTTAAAATCCAGCTAACATAAAAAATGAAACTTCTTTTTTTCAAAAAAATTATTCTGACGGACGAGATCCATTATCGCCTTGATGCCATAATGATGTAACCTTGATGTAATAAATAAAATAAACAAAATCATCGTTTTCGGAGAGTTGAAAACATCTGTATCCAATAAAAGTATTTCTTTGAAAGCACTGGAGACCGTGTAAATAAATACGATATCGTACTACGTCGATCGATTTTTTTGACCTAAATTTGATGCGATAGACATAGACGACCATTATTTTCATTACATGATGGTACTAAATGCCACATAAGTTGTGAAACAATCATGCTATTTGAGTTCGATTAACTTCTTTCTTTGGGAATATGTGAAAGATAAGGTATAAATGATCCAATAAGACAATTCAATACCTTAAAAATAATATGAGAGCAAGAATTAGTGAACTAAACCCAAAAATGTATTACAATTAATGATATTTGAATTAGAAAATGTATAACTAAAAAATTAACGTTACACACTTGCTGTGCTATCAGAAATAAATGTTTTTGTCCACGACTACCTAATAATATATACCTTATGAATGAGTTTTCTAAAACAGAATGGTAGTCATTTTTCACGGAGTGAATAATAGCGGTGAATAATAATCATTATCCACGGGTAGCCATCTTGATCAGACTAATAATAATTATTTGAAACGTTAAAAGTTCAAAAAACGTCAATTTAATTCAATTTTTTGGGAGTTTCTAAATGTTTGACATTAAAAAAACCTAAACAAATTCCTTTTTTCGTATGATTTAAGCATAAATTAATTAATTTTCGTAAAGAAAACGACGTTTTATAAAACTGACATTTAGTTTTGACAAATTGTTGTGAAGTTGGTTACAGTTAGTAACATTGAATTTGTGTCACATTGACGTTTAACCTTTATTCAAAAATTTATTATAAAATTAATTTATGGAATCAATTTCAATAGTCGTGGACAAAGTATAGTATTCTACTCGCATATAATGAGCTATTATTCACTCAGGTTAATTATGCCACTCGCTACGCTCGTGACATAAACTTAACCTTCGTAAATAATAGCCCTCATTATATGCTCATATAATAATGTACTATTATCTACAACTATTGAATTATCTATTCGTTATATATTTGATTTTTGACGGGTAATGACACGCATTACTCATGACTGACAAAGTATTGAATAATGAAGCCATTATTCCACAGTTCTGACACGGCCTACTAATCAAAAAATAAAATATTAACAGAAATGACAGTTTTCTTATATTGAGGTTATGTCTGAAATGTCTATCAAGTTTATTTTTTTTCCTTTTTTTGATTTTTTTTTTCAAAATTAAATAGTTGTAGATAAAGTATAGTATTCAACTTGCGTATAATGGATGTTACCCACTCAGATTACAACACTCGTGTTGCAACTTCATCTTCGTGGGTAACAGCCGCCATTATACGCTTATTGAATAATATACTATTATAATATACTATTATCCACACTTATGAACCGTATAAAGTACCACTTTATCCACTAGTGGAATAATGAAAAATACAAACTTAAATCAATCGCATCCTATTTATTATTTATATTAATAGACATTTCATTCTTTGATTTGTCATATCACTTTCTTCCATTTTTCACCAACTTTACCTTTACAACCTTTACAACTTTCACACTTTTACAAATATGTTACAANTATAAAAAACCTAAACAAATTCCTTTTTTCGTATGATTTAAGCATAAATTAATTAATTTTCGTAAAGAAAACGACGTTTTATAAAACTGACATTTAGTTTTGACAAATTGTTGTGAAGTTGGTTACAGTTAGTAACATTGAATTTGGGTCACATTGACGTTAAACCTTTATTCAAAAATTTATTTAAAAAATTAAGTTGTCCACGACTACCTTATAATATATACCTTATAGTTCAGTTTTCTAAAACAAAATGGTAGTCATTTTTCACAGAGTGAATAATAGCGGTGAATAATAATCATTATCCACGGGTAATCACGGGTAACCAACTTGACAGACTAATAATAATTATTTGAAACATTAAAATTTCAAAAAACGTCAATTTAATTCAATTTTTTAGGAGTTTCTAAATGTTTGACATTAAAAAAACCTAAACAAATTCGTTTTTCGTATGATTTAAACATAAATTAATTAATTTTCGTAAAGAAAACGACGTTTTATAAAACTGACATTTAATTTTGACAAATTGTTGTGAAGTTGGTTACAGTCAGTAACATTGAATTTGTGTCACATTGACGTTTAACCTTTATTCAAAAATTTATTTAAAAATTAATTTATGGAATCAATTTCAATAGTCGTGGACAAAGTATAATATTCTGCTCGCATATAATGAGCTATTATTCACTCAGGTTAATTATGCCACTCGCTACGCTCGTGACATAAACTTAACCTTCGTGAATAATAGCTTTCATTATATGCTCATATAATATACTATTATGGAATCAATGTCAATATTCATGGACAAAGTATAGTATTCTACTCGCATATAATGAGCTATTATTCACTCAGGGTAATTATGCCACTCGCTACGCTCGTGACATAAACTTAACCTTCGTAAATAATAGCCCTCATTATATGCTCATATAATAATGTACTATTATCTACAACTATTGAATTATCTATTCGTTATATATTTGATTTTTGACGGGTAATGACACGCATTACTCATGACTGACAAAGTATTGAATAATGAAGCCATTATTCCACAGTTCTGACACGGCCTACTAATCAAAAAATAAAATATTAACAGAAATGACAATTTTCTTATATTGAGGTTATGTCTGAAATGTCTATCAAGTTTATTTTTTTTCCTTTTTTTGATTTTTTTTTTCAAAATTAAATAGTTGTAGATAAAGTATAGTATTCAACTTGCGTATAATGGATGTTACCCACTCAGATTACAACACTCGTGTTGCAACTTCATATTCGTGGGTAACAGCCGCCATTATACGCTTATTGAATAATATACTATTATAATATACTATTATCCACACTTATGAACCGTATAAAGTACCACTTTATCCACTAGTGGAATAATGAAAAATACAAACTTAAATCAATCGCATCCTATTTATTATTTATATTAATAGACATTTCATTCTTTGATTTGTCATATCACTTTCTTCCATTTTTCACCAACTTTACCTTTACAACCTTTACAACTTTCACACTTTTACAAATATGTTAAAAATGGAGTCGATAAACAATCGGAAATAAATAGCAACAATTCAACACCTCCCAATGTTTTTTTAGTTAATTGCAATGATTTTTAAGGTGACAGCCGCTGTCAGAGTGAAATGTCAAATCATTTTTTGATAACATCAGATGAAATTTTGGCGATTCTGATTCTAAATTATTGTGATTGTGGATAAAGCGTTGTATTGCATGCGTGTTTTAGATGAGTTTTATTCACTTAAGAAAATTAAACATTCTTGCGTGAATAAAATGCTGTCTAAAACACTTATACAATAAATAACTTTTTTTTTAAATAAGACGTTAAAATATTCATCGTCGTACCGGGATTTTCCCTTGCGGTATCAAATTNAGAAAATTAAACATTCTTGCGTGAATAAAATGCTGTCTAAAACACTTACACAATAAATAACTATTTTTTTAAATAAGACGTTAAAATATTCATCGTCGTACCGGGATTTTCCCTTGCGGTATCAAAAATTTATGAATTTTCCTTGTACATATTGCATTCTTTATCTATACAAATTTAATTATTAACGTCTGTATAAAAAAAATCGAAATGCAAAGAAATTGCTATTGACATTTTATTTCACATAATAATAGAAATTGATGATTCAGTTATTATGAAATTATTATTCGTTTTACGTTATCAGCTTATTAAGCTTTAAGAGTTTGTGCATTAGCTTATCCGCACACATCATAGACGTATTGTGTGTTATCAAATGTTGTATTTTCTAAATAGACGTAAACTTAATACGATGGAATTTGACCTTTTTTTCACATAAAAACCGATTGTGTTGGACTTCTCGGAAATCGCATGTTTAATAAGTTTTCCATTGAATTCTTACGCATATGTTTGGAATCGACCACTATTAACCAAGTCATATTTAAAGAAATTGTAACTTTTTTCTAATTATGCAACATTTTATATTAAATTGACTATACATATGTATATAATGTCTCAATAGTATAAACTTTTTAATTCAATATTACATCGTGTTTACATTTTTATTAGCTTCTGTTAAACAAAAAATTGTGTTTATTACACCAAGTTGTTTTGCTTAAAAAAATTGTTCCACAGATTGATTCATTCTGATAAGATAAGAAACAGTAAAACAGCATATGAGTTCATCACTGGCAATATTCTACACTACAATCTTTTTGAAAAAAAATTAAGACTTACTTATACAGTAAAACCTCGATATAACGAACCTCATTGCAACGGACTTAGGATATAACGGACAAAACATTTTTAAGTCAGAATTGTCAGAATTAAATTGAATTTATGATTTGTTTTCCTCTGTCACTGTCATTGTTGTAATCATTGTCTTTTTTGTTTATTATCACTAGCGCTAATATAGGATAATTATAATAATGTACAATTTTCTTTTATGGCAATAAAATTTGTTTATTATTATTATTAGAAATTCACCAGTTAATAGCAGGCTTTGTTAATGTAATACCACACTTCTTCTCGCACTCTAGAATCACATCCAGCCTAATTCCAAACATTGTCTTAAAATACGAAATCTTGCCAGTGTGTTTACAAACACTTCTTACTCTCAGACAACTCATTTTTTTCTTTCTCTGTTTGGTATACAGATGTATTTCAAATTTTGCTTTTGATGTCTAGAGTCAAAGTAATTTTAGACTATCCAGTACAATTCCAGCCACTTCCTTAATATGTGGAATCTTATAGGTATAACTATACATTTCCACTAGAAACATTCGGGTTTAGTCGTCTTACGAGACGAAACCTGAATGTTTCTAGTTCTAGGTCTAGTGTTACTTCTAGTGCTAGTGTTAGTTCTAGTTTGAGTTGTTATTCAGCGTTAGATTGTTATATATTTTTCATTGAACTAAAAGTAACACTAGACCTAGAAAGTCTCTGATTTAGCCATGTCTTTAAAGTGTAAATTAAAAATGTTTCATATAACAAACTTTTAGTTATAAACACTCCCTTCACCGTAATAGTCCGTAATATCGAGGTTTCACCGTACTTACATACTAATACTTACTTATATTTATATTTTTGATCCTCCAATAATTGTATACTCAAAATATTAACCATTGGAAAATTCTCCTTAATCGTNTAAAAAAATTGTTCCACAGATTGATTCATTCTGATAAGATAAGAAACAGTAAAACAGTATATGAGTTCATCACTGACAATATTCTAGACTACAATTTCTTTGAAAAAAAAAAATTAGGACTTACTTATACAGTAAAACCTCGATATAACGAACCTCGTTGAAATGGACTTAAGATATAACGGACAAAACATTTTTAAGTCATACTATTTTATGATCTATTTAACACACATATTTAAATATAAATGTTAGCGCTCATAAATAGAATCCAACTCGGGTTATTCTTCAAGTTGCTCTATTCCATGTTCATAAATAAACTAAGGGTATTCCCCAAGTTGTCTATACGATGCATAAATCAACGACGGTGGTTCTAACTTTAATTGTTATTCAGTGCTAGATTGTTGCATATTTTTATTGAACGAAAAGTAAAACTAATACGGGTTTAGCCGTCTTAAGAGACATAAAGCTAAACCTGAAATTTTGCAGATCTAGGTCTAGTGTTAGTTCTAGTGCTAGTGTGAATTAACACAAGACCTAGAACTAGAAAGTCTCTGGTTTAGCCATGTGTCTTTAAAGTGCAAATCAAAAATGTTTCATATAACTAACTTTTGGTTATAAACACTCCCTTCACCGTAATAGTCCGTAATATCGAGGTTTTACCGTACTTACATACTAATACTTACTTATATTTATATTTTTGATCCTCCAATAATTGTATACTCAAAATATTAACCATTGGAAAATTCTCCTTAATCGTATTACAAGTGTTGTCAGTATGGCACAAGAATAACTGTCCTTCAAGTGTGCACCAACGCGAATTAAATTCCCCGAATAAATCTTCAACCGGCCCGTTAGTAACTTTATATAACAATCCTCTTTGATGCCCCGCATTTCTTGTATTTAACGATGGTCTCGCTAAATAACTATCTTTACTTGATTTTCCCCGAACTAACTGCGGCGCTTTCTTTAAAACGTCGTTTACGTGTTTTAAAAGGTTTAATTTTGAATTTTTTGTACTCGCGGTGGGAGTTGAATTAATATTCACATTATCTGAAGTGTACCAATTCGTTTTACTTTCACGTTCTTTCTCTTTCGCCGGTTCTTTGCGTTTTGGTAACGGGGAGGATTCGCGGGATGGTAACGAATCGTGTCGTTCCGGTGGAGCCGGCGGGTTTATATATTCTTCAATATCCGATTCGGTGGAACAACTCCAATCGTCGATTGTATTCGCGGGAGTTACGGTTTCGCATAAATCTCCTAATAATAACCGTTCTAAATTTAACAATTCCTCGTTTCCGGCCGCTTCGTTCGCGTACGTTGATTCCCTTAATGGATCGAATTGCAAAATAACACTTTCAGCAACTCTATGAGTTTCATCTTTGCATCTAGTTTCAATTTCGTGATTCTCATATATCGAATTTGTGCGCATTGTGCCGCTACAAATCGAAGCATTTTCTGGGGCTAAAGATGGTGTGCTATCGATATTGTTATAAATTTGTTCTGTTTTTTGCACGAATGGAGGAACTTCGTCGTAAAATCTCCAAGAATCCGAGCGGTTTAAATTAATACTAACACTATCAGTTGATGGTACATCTAAGTAACTTTCTGAGTCGCTGTTTTGAGTAGCCGCTGGGAAAACGCTTTCATAATCATTTCTTGTATTTATTTCATTCGAACTTGTGCTACCGGACGTTAATGATTGAGGCGCATCGTATGTGTGTTCTTCAGGTAACGCAGGTGGTGGGTAAGGAGGAGGTGGGGAGTTGTAATCATCTAATTCGGAATATATACTATTTATGGGCGAATTAAATGTGATTGAGTCAAAAATACCGATTGGGATATCTTGGAATTCTTCAACAACTTGATCATTTTGTTCGTTATTGTTTGAGTGGAATCGTTTTGTTATCCGACGAACGCTCGTTCGAGTACTTTCAATTACTGCCTTTTTACCTTCTAAAACTTTACCACCTATATCTTCAGCGATTTGTTTAGAAGCATTACTCAAAGTACGAACACGTCTCGTAAAAGTATTACTATTAAAATCGTTATTTTTTACGTTATCAACTTCGTCTAGTTTAATACTATCTTTATCATTATCAAGTGATTCCCCAAATTGTTCTTTTTTCTTATCTTTAGATCTACTTGGTCGAATGGGAATTAGTTGTCTCGGAGCTGGAATAGGTTTTTTAGTTTCATTGTTTCCCAAATTTCTAGGTGCGGGAATTGGAGCACTCATATTTATTATTTTCACTACACAGTTATTTTTTTTCTAAATTAAAATCGCAACCACGCGATAACTACAACGTGAGTTATCTCTCCGATCATTTTCAACGCACTGAAACACCTCTAATATACGACTCGCCTCGCCACATAGCCGCAGATAACTTGAGGCAAACGAAAACATATCACACCGAACTAAAAATAACTGCGTTCACGTCAGTTAACTCTGTCTTTTTTCAACACGTTAAAAAGTCTATCTGAAAGAATTGATTACGTTTAACGGAGTTAAATCCATCACATGGATGACTAATCCTTAAACGGGAAGGGATAATTTTTTGTTACTTCCAGCATCCTTTCGTCTTTGTTCGTTGAAAAAAAAAATAATAGTAGCTTTTTAACAATAAACGGGGAAAAGAGATGAATCAATTTAACAGAAACGCTAAACACACTTTGTGAATTGAAACAACGCAAAACAAAAATAGAACAACGGTTCGTTCAAGTTGAGTTAATTGGAAATTAACGACAATTTTCAAGGTTTTAATATGTAATTTAACGGGAATGTGGCAATATTTCACATTATAAGTAATTTATTTAAAGAATGTTCTAAACGTTGTTTACCGTTTTGTTTGTTTTTAGTTTGATTTATTATTTAAATTCGTGATGTGTATGCAACCCAACAAACAAGTTACCATTAAACGCAGCAAAAAGGAAGCCATATTGAATGAGTAATTTGGCGGGAAAATCAAAATATTTTAAAAATTTAAATAGAATTTTCTTAAAATTGGAATACGTTAGAATAACCATAAATTTGTATATCCTTAATAGTAAATAGGGGTTATAGTAGAGGTTTGACAAGGATGTTTAGTTTCACCAATCCTCTTTAACCTATACTCAGAGGACATAATAAATAAAGCACTTGGTGCACTAATTAACAATTTGAGATACGCTACAAAAGCTTGTTAATTGAATAGTTACTGTAAGCGACGAGTATGGGTTGGCTCTGAATATAAGCAAAACAAAGTACAGAATACGCTAAAATATAGAGTATATTTTATTATTGTTATTATTTAGTTATTAGGAATGATACTTTAAATGTTCAAAATCTGCTCCATTGCGCTGTCTAAATAGTATTCATAACGATCAAGCACATTTTCAAACATTTTTTGATGCGGTTGCTTCAGAGTGCTGAAAAACTCAACGACCTTTTGACGTAATGCAGGCAGAGTTTTGGATGGATATGGCCATCTGAAAATGTTCTCGTTTAAGCCCCGTCTTGTTGGAACTATTGTTTATTCATCCGAATATTCCTGGCACAACAAAATCTTCTTAGATCCTCAATAAATGGCCTGACCACCATGTTTCTATAACCTGGGTAACAGTAAGAGGTGTACCATCATCATCCTTAATGAAATACGGACCTAGCACACAATTTCCTGACACTGCACTCACTTCCATTATGGTGATGCAACAACACTGAGACGCAAAGGCTTGCGTAAGAGTGGTGCGCGTAAACCAGTACTGTATGATTTTGGCGCATACTGTATATGATTATTACAAAAACAACAAGAAACAATAATAAGATATATGTAAAAGGTAAACCTATTGCAAGAATAAAAGAATTCAAATACCTAGGCACAACGATTAATGCTAACAATGACAGCTCTCAAGAGGTGTGCATTAAAATTGAATATGCGAAACACGTTTAATGGAATGAAGAAGCTTATTTCTTGTCGGGATCTGAGTCTGGAGTTGAGAGTGCGAATAATGAGGTGCTATGTGCTCCATAGTAATACATGGTAATTAGGTTTTCCCAAAAGATCCATTGGGGTACATGTACTCAACCTTTGTCCTCGGCTATTTGACGTAGTTACATCCCACTCAACAATGGGAATACTACATTATTTGGGAGGAGGTTTGTTCTTATCATAACCACATGAATATAGCGTTCCCTCGGCCAAAGGGGTGATAGATTAGAACTCCTAGCCTTGACACAACAATCTTAACAATCTTAGCCTAACTCTAATGTCTACATATTCTTTCTGTATTCAACTGATTGTACACTCATCTACACAGCAGTTCATCCAAAACCATTTTGATTAATACAGGCAATAGTGGATCTTTGTGTTTAATATTGGGGTTGATTTCGATTTTACTAAGATGGAAGAATCCATCTAAACCCGTAAAAAATAATCTAGTAGTACATCTTCATTTTGGGGGATGTTCTCTTATACACTTTTAATCAGTAGACTGTTCTGCAGAGGATTTCTGCAACGCCAAATCAAATACTTATTTAAAGTTTTAGCTGTGTTAATATTAATACTTACTTCTTCTGTACCTAAATTTTAGCTGATTTTTTTATATGTAGTTAACCAACTCAAAATTTAAAACGTTCTCATAACAATAAGCCATAATGGCGGGTATTTTAAATTTTACTGCCAACTATAAAAATTTTCATAAAAATTCAATACAATAAACAAATTTTTCTTTAATTATTTAACAAACTATTATAAATAACAATATTAAATCTAATAATATAATTAAAATTATTTACAATAGAATTATAAATCAACGAAATTTAACAAATTTAAGAAAAAATAACTATTTAAAAGATTTAAAGTTGGCTGCACTTCTCTCTCCTAAAACAATTTGTTTACATTTCAATCGTGTTGCTAAGAAACAACGTATACAAACAGAACTTAAAACTTACAGTTCCAAAGAAAACTAAGTTTTAACGCAAATATGCGTTCAATTCCGAAATGGGTTGATAAAATCCAAGATACGGACAAACAAGAACAATGGTAAATAAACGTTTACTTGTAAAAATCAAATTCAACATCATCCATATCACATCTTTTTTTTAGCATTTATGATTTGTGTTTCAATCCTGATGGCTCACAATTAATAGTAGCAAGTGGAAATAGGGTTTTAGTTTACGATACTTCAGATGGAACTCTTTTACAACCATTAAAAGGGCATAAAGATACAGTGTATGCTGTGAGTTACGCTAAAAATGGACAAAAATTTGCTAGCGGAAGTGCTGATAAAACAGTAATTGTGTGGTCAAATAAACTTGAAGGATTATTAAAGTATAGTCATAGTGATGCTATACAATGTTTGGCTTATAATCCTTTATCTCACCAATTAGCTTCGTGTGCTTTAAGTGATTTCGCTTTTTGGAGTGTTGAACAAAAAGCTGTACAAAAACATAAAGTTAATGCGAGAATAAATGCGTGTTCTTGGACTAATGATGGACAGTATTTAGCATTAGGGTTAGGAAATGGAACTATTTCTATAAGAAATAAATTAGGAGAAGAAAAAGGGAAGATTGAAAGACAAGAATCTTTACCGATTTGGGCTTTATCTTGGAGTACTCTACGCGATGACGTTGATACACTTTGTGTAACCGATTTTAATAAAACATTATCGTTTTATACTTTAGGCGGGAAATTAGTTGGGAAAGAAAGAAATATAGGTTTTGATGCTTTAAAAGTTAGTTATTTCCCTAAAGGAGAATATATTTTAATTTCTGGAACTAATAAATGTTGTAACATGTATACAAAAGATGGAATTAAATTGGGAGTCATTGCTGATCAACAAGAATCATGGGTTTGGTGTACTGCTGTTCATCCTTCATCGAATTTTGTTGTAAGGTTATTTTATGAAACTTTTTAATTACACTGTGCTGCAAGATATTCTACAGTTGATGAGTTGAGTGTTAATTTTGGGTTGCTGATTTCAAATATGCCTTCCATTTTTCTGTAACACGTCACGTTTTTTTTATTTAGGTGTCTCACATGATTTTATAGGGCAACTGTAGATGCAATGAATTTGATATTTGGCACCTTGATATAAGGTGAAGAGATTTACCTTTTAGTGGTACTGTCATGTTTGTACCACTTCCGCCTACACCGGAAATTATTACTGACATCACTATTTTAATGAAAATTTTAAAATTTTATTTAGCAGTTGGTTATATTATGTAATCCTAAATAATTTTTATTTGAAAATTTTTTTTACCTCATTTATAATTTCCCAGAAAAAAAATAAACGAATTGAAAAACACTTTGGAATTACATGCTTTTTGTTAAGGTCAGCTGGGATAAAACGGGTATAGGGGAGTAAAACAACATTAATAATATTGACATAAAAAATATTTTTAAATGTATATTAAAATGTTGCCAACAGTTTTTAAAACTGGTTTTTAAAAAAATGTTGCCAACAGTTTTTAAAACCGGTTACACCCCACTATACCAGTGTAGTGTTATGTAGTGAGAAACCTGAATAAAAAAAAACGTGACGTGTTACAAAAAAATTGGAAGGCATATTTGAAATCAGCAACAAATAATTAACCAAAAACACTCAACTTATCTACTGTACACAAAGAAAAGTTAAAATTTGCAGCACAGTGTTATTAATAAATAATTTTTTTTAGGCTATTGGGTGCCAAGATGGAACTTTAGCTTACTACCAATTAAATTTTAACACCGTTCATGGTTTATACCGAGATCGTTACGCTTACAGAGAAAATATGACCGACGTAATTATTCAACATCTCTTAACAGAACAAAAAGTTCGTATTAAATGTCGCGATTTAATTAAAAAAATCGCAATTTTTAAGCATCGATTAGCTGTACAACTTCCAGAACGTGTTGTTATTTACGAATTGTATTCAAATGATATAAACGACATGCATTATAGAGTAAAAGAAAAAATTACTCAAAGACTTGATTGTAATTTATTAGTAGTTTGCTCGGAACATTTAGTTATATGCCAAGAAAAATGTCTACAAAGCATTAATTTTTTGGGGGTTAAAGATAGAGAATGGGTTTTTGATAGTCCAATAAAGTATATAAAGATAATTGGAGGTCCACCTCGACAAGAAGGGTTAATATTAGGCTTAAAAAATGGACAAGTTTGGCAAGTTCATTTAGACAATTCTTTTCCCCTTTTAAAAATCACCATACAATCGCCTGTACGGTGCTTAGATTTAAGCCAACATAAAAAGAAACTTGCTGTTGTAGATGATATTGGAACGTTACAAGTTTTTAATACCATCAATAGTGAATTATTATTTCAAGTATTATTTAATTTAAAAATAAAATTATTAAATTAATAAATATTATTTTAGGAGCCGCATATAAACAGTGTAGCTTGGAACAATCAATACGAAGAAATGCTAGCTTTTACTGGTCAAGATAATCTTGCAATAAAAGTTTTAGATTTCTCCGCCCATAAACAAAAACTTCACGGTTTCGTAGTCGGCTTATCAGGCTCAAAAGTGTTCTGTTTAAACGGCCCGACAATGAACACATTCGAAATGCCACTTGGAGCCCCAATGTATCAATACATTGACAAGAAAATGTTTCAAGATGCTTATAAAGTGGCTTGTTTAGGCGTTACCGATGGTGATTGGGAAGAATTGGGACATGCAGCTTTAGAAACTTTAGATTTCGAAGTTGCTCGATTAGCTTTTATAAAACTAATGGATTTTAATTATTTGGAATTAATCAGGGATTTGCAAGATCGACAAAAAAAGGGGGATAATAACAAAGAGTGCATGGTTGCTGATATTTATGCTTATCGAGGAAAATTTAAAGAGGCTGCTAGAATGTATCAAAAAGCTGGATTTGAACATAAAGCTTTAACTATGTATACTGATTTAAGAATGTTTGATTTAGCACAAGTAAGGAAATGAAAGGTTATCAAAGTAAATGAGATCATATTATTTGGTTTGTAGGATTATTTGGGATCAGGAGATAACACAAGTTTAATCAGACAAAAAGCAGATTGGGCTAAAAACATAAACGAACATAAAGCAGCTGTTGATATGTATCTTTCAATTGGAGATACTCAATCAGCGATAGAAATTCTTTCAGAACGTGGTTGGTCAGAACAGTAAATATTTTAATTTTTTTATAACAAATCACTATGTTAACTTTACCTAATTTTTTTAGATTAATAGATTTAGGTCGGAAAATCGACAAATCCGATCGTGCTTCACTCTTAGCTATAGCAGAACACTTAAAGCAATTAAGACATTCAAGCGCTGCCGCAGAACTTTATAAAAGACTTGGCGATTCAGCTGCAGTCTTAACATTACATGTCGAAGCAAAAGAATGGGCTCAAGCTTTTAGTTTAATACAATCACAACCTCAATATAAAGCGCTAGTTTATGTTCCTTACGCTCATTGGTTAGCCGAAAACGATAAATTCGTCCAAGCTCAAAAAGCTTTTTATAAAGCTGGACAACCAGATGAAGCGTTTCGGGTTTTACAGCAATTAACCGAAAACGCTGTCGTTGAAAACCGATTCCAAGACGCCGGTTATTATTACTGGATTTTATCGAGACAATGTTTGGAGTTGGCCCAAGAAAATAATGAGACCCAACAAAACGAAATGATAAAGAAATTCTTAAAAAATGAGCATTTAGCGAATATTTATTATGCGTATCATACGGTGTATCAGTATTTGGAGGAACCTTTTACGTCTTATATGCCGGAAGCTTTGTTTAATATAGCTCGATTTTTGATGATTGAAACGAATGTTGATCGACCTAAAAAAATTTCACAATTGTAAAAAAATATTGATTTAAAAAAATTAATTTTTAATTTAATACATTTTTAGTGCTATTTTATATTGTTTGGCGAAACAAGCTCGAAAATTAGGTGCTAACAAATTAGCTAAACAACTTTTTGAAAAAATACAACATTTAAAAATCCCGAAAAGATTCGAAGAACAAGTTGAAGTTGCTACAATATCTTCTAGAGCCCGACCATACAGCGATCCAGAAGAATTATTACCGATGTGTTATAGATGCTCCACTTACAATCAATTATCAACAACTGTAAATAAATGTGTTCATTGTGGGCAGAAATTTGTACATTCATTCGTTAGTTTTGGTACTTTTTATAAATACTTATTAAAAATTATTATTAGTTCTTCTCATTTTAAATAGAAACATTACCATTAGTTGAATTCGAATTAGAAGATGGTATAACAGACACTGAAGCAATACGATTGATTGAAACTCCAGATTCTAAAGAAGAAGTTGAAAATTGGAAACAAGAAATTAATGAAACACAACAAACATTAAAATTAGATGAACCAAGCGTTGATCCTTTTACAACTCGATTAATTAACTTTGAGGTAAATTCAATTTATAAATTGAGTCGTAATGAAAAATATTTATTTTTAGGATGATGATTCAAATAAACTTCCGGTAATTTTAAACCGAGAAGCTCTTTTATCATTAGACTCAACAAGTGTCCTTATATGCAAGTGGCAACCACCTTTAAAATATCAATATTTTCGCAATGTTTTACCAGATGTCCAAATAACAATGTGTTATTCATGTTTTAAGGTATATATATGTATATATAATTTCGGTTTATAGCGTTTTACGTCTTGCCATTGCAAATCTCCAGCCTTTGCGGTCCTCCCAGTCCCCTGGTTTCGGACATCGCCTTCGTTATCTTTGATGCAAATGTCGTTTTCGGGCGTCCCCTACTTCTTCCGGTTGAAGATAGTGGAATATAAATATTGTTTTCTTTTTTTGGGATCTTTTTTGACCAAAGAAAAGAGTTTATTATGTTTTTGCCACGTTGTAGTCAGCTTCGTATTTCTGCTTCCGTTTCGCAAAGATACTGTGTTTTTGCTACATTCAAAACCAAGCCTCACCTCTGGTGCGTATTTACTATGTCTTTTCTCTAAGGCAAACTCACGATTGGATGGCAAGTTAGTATGCCCACTCACTAAAAAGTGATGGGTAACACTCTTAAATCGCTGCTCTCTAATTAACTGTAGCCAGAGAGACATAAAGACCCAATTTTTGTTTTGACCTGGGCAGTTATCCGTAAATATTACAAGATCCTTCACACCAGGTTTAATATTTTTCAAAAATTTTATCAAAATGGACCCTACCTCATCCGCTCCTCTTTTGCCTTTTCTTCTGTCCACAAATACATAAAACCCTGTTCGTTAGTGCAGTCATGAACACCCAGATTATAAAGCCAAATCTTTCGGCAGTAAAAAGCTGGTCCTGCGGTTAGTTTCGGGATAGGCAGCGCCTGTTGCAGGTCGAATGAAATAACACACTTTTTATCTGCTTTTGTCTTAGATTCTTCTACTTTGCTTTTTAATAAGCTTTCGATTGCAACGATTTCTTTTGTAAAATTTGATGATGTTTTTAGTTCCTGTAATTCCTTCTCATTATTTTCACAAGCTACTATACTCTTAGATATTTTCAAATTAATCATCGCAAGTTTTGCAAGTGTCAGATTTAGGTCATTTAAATCCAATATTAAATTACGTACAAAATATTTTTCGATAGGCACTTTCTTTAACAGCATTTATACCTTGCTTTTAACACCAAGGAACCTAAAACTCTGTCAAAATTGTCAGTCCTACTGTAATGACTTTGATACCAAAGTCCGTATATGGTCTTGAACTGATTGTTTTTGGTGTTCATTCAACTGATTCGGTCGATTACTGTGCTTCCCTCTCTTGTACCTACCTGCAGGTTGAGCTCCCTGAAACTTTTTTTTGCTGACGAGTCTATTGATCCTGCCGCGAGAGGATTGAAGACCGTGAACACTCACAAACTCGATTTTGCAAAGCCTTATGTGTTTCCCACCAACAGTCACGAAATATTTAGCGTTAAAGTGTCTGCTAGATTCTTGTTTAGTTTGTTTTTTATGGTAGGAACGTTTTTTAGGTGATAACTGAATGCATTCAATGAGGTAACTATTCTGCAAGTCATAGGATCCTAGATACCAGAATTCCTTAAATATTTTTTCATGACATCTTTCTAGGAAAGTTCTACATTTCTTTTTGCACGCACAAGGCGATCCCAATTCACGAGTTTTTACGCACTTATTGGTCGATTCACTTGTATACTCTTGCCCTAAATTATGCCTACTTTTTCTTTTCGTTCTCACGTACATGTCTGTGTTTCTGTGCTTCCATTTTGATTTTGGAGCTGGTACGGGTGAAACTTCACGGCTTCTGCACACTTTGACTGGATTGTTATTTACTTCCAATAAAGATGTAGTAGATTCGCCCTAAAAATGTAATGCAATAAAACCAGATTTTAACACTGCAGTGTTAATGTAAGAACTAGATTTTAGGATATATGGAGGCATCTGTACGAATTACTTTGTACAAATTTTTATGCGGTTTGTCATACTATTGCATGATGAGAAAATAGTAAAATCTTATTTTTGCAGAAAATGTGGCTTGTCACGTCTAGCAATAAGCCTTTCATTTGTTTATTTATCTTTACTGCTGCTTCTGTCCCTCTGTATAATTTTTGTTCCGCCTTGATTAACGTGAGATTTATTGTTGTTTGCGATAGCGCTTGCCACAATTTTTCCTGAGGAATGATGTCATATGTCTTGGTGAAATCCACAAATAAGAGATGTGTAGCTACTTTCTTCTCTGTGATTTGGTTCAGACTGAATATATTATCCATGCATGTTCTACCCGCTCTGAATCCCGCTTGTTCTTACATTTCACATGGTGCCCATATTCTTGTATCAAATTTTTCACTATTCGATCGTATAGTCTGCTTAAGGAATTTGTGACAACTAGACATCGGTAGTTATTACAATTTTTTCTATCTCCTTTGTTATGGATTGATATTATGCACCCTTTCTTACAAGCCTCTGGAATTGCTTCGCCATTCGTAAAGTCTTGAAAGATATCTGCCAATATTTCTAACAATGAACCGGCGCGTTTTTTGTTAGCTCAATTTGAATCCCCTCTGGACCGCTTACCTTGTTATTTTTCCATTAGTGCTTTTTTTACCTGATCAGCTTTTATTTCTACCGCAGGGCCTTCTACTCTATAGCTTTGTTCCAACAAGCGGCCCAACTTGTCGTGTACTCGTCAAATTCAATCGCGATATTATATTATTATTATATTATGAACTGAGGTCTTTGTTCTGTCAATTCGCTTCTATAATGTTCTTTACAAACTGATACAGGTATGAGTAGTATGTTTAATTTTTTATTGTTATTGTTTTTTAAGGATGGTACTGATCCTCCTAAGTATGTGTGTAGTTTTTTACACTTTTTGTCCCATGTAGTGTCTAAGTATGTATTTATCATTTTTATATTTTGACAGTTCCATTGCATAATATCTGGTGTAACCTGATTCAGCCACTTCTGCTATGCTTTTTGTTTTATCTCTTTGCTTTTGCAGGTTTTCGGTCCATATAATTTTGTTGTTCCTTTGTGTTCTTTGTTTTTCACCTAAGGGTTCCTTAGCTGCTTCGCGTGTTGCGTCAAGGAGCTCTAAGTATGTTTGCACAGCGTTTTGCATTTTTTCGTCTAATCTTTTTTGGTATAGGTATTTTATGCTGTCGTGTAATAAGCTATCTGTGTAGGTTTATTTGTTCAGTCTTCCTTGGTTTCTTTTTGTGTGTTGTATATCTTGTGGATTATCATTAATTTAGTATTTAGGAAATAACGATCTGATCCGCATTCTAGGCTTCTGTAAACTCTTGTATCTTGGATTTTTAAGTTAGAATTTAGTTTACTAATACTGTAGTCTATAATCGATTTGAGTTGTCTTGTTTCTTGATGCCATGTGTATTTATGTTTAAAGAAACCATTTTGGATTCTTAGTTTATTCATTGTAGATAAATCTATTAATCAGTGTCCATCATCATTGGTAGCCTGTTCTCCAAATCTTCCTACAATTTTCCTATTTATTCTTCTTCCCATTCTTGCATTTAAATCCCCTAAGACTATCAATTATCTGCCATCGCCCAATAAGCTTATAGTTTTAAGGTTATTTTTATTAATAATAAATTAATTTTATAAAAAATGATTATTTTCAGGCGTTTCATGTAGATGATTTTGAACTACAAGTTCTACGAAAAGGATATTGCCCATTTTGTAGGGCACAACCAGATAATAATTTAGGATCAGATTCTACTGATGATATTTTAGGATTTTAAAACGTTAAAATAGAAGTATTATGTGATTGTTATCCGTCCAGGTTTTTTTATAATAAAAAGAAGTTTATTAACTATTAATTTATTTTAATTAAACTGGTTTTAAAAATTGTCGATACCACATAATGCTAGTAAACGCACACAAACCATACCAAGTTAATATGTAAGACAGATGTTCATTTCTTAACGAAATCCGTGTTTGTCCTCCAATAGGTCCACCCTTAACATCAAATTCATTTGTTGCATCCAAAAATATGGGGGAAGCTCCTGTTATTGCACACATTTGTTCTAAATCTCTAAATTAATTAAGAATGATGAAGAATTAGTTTCTTTTAAATTAAAAGTACTCTTTTTTACCTATAATACCAAATATTAGTCCCCTCTTTATTTTTTGGCATAAAAGTTGGTCTATTTTCATGTAACCGAACCACTCCAATAACATCTACTTCACCTTCCACTTGTCCTTGTGGTCTACTTTTAGGATTAACTGACTTTGTAGGTACCCAACCCCGATTAACCAATATGGTTTCACTAAAATCATTAAACTAATCAAAACTAAACTTATTTTTACCAAAATATTTACTCTCTATCAGATAATTTAAAAGGTGTAACAACTAAATAACCCTGTGTAGATGTCTGCCCTTTCGATAACAAAGAACTTTTACTAGCAGCATCACCATCAATTAATAACGATCTAGGCCCCATATACATTTCTTTATCATGCAAAAATTGCCCTTTAACATGAATAGGATAATATTCCAAAGATTCCAACTCCTCTAAAGAATCAGGTAAAGTAATTGGAATTGCATTTTTTCGTTCTTGCAAATTGTTTATTAACGCCTCTTTCCATTTCTTTCTTTGTATTTGCCACGTTCCCAAAGCAAAAGTACCTGCGGGTATTGACTAAAAGTGCAAATATAAACGTTAATGTTATATTTTTTACATGAAACGAGCACAAACCAACAGAAACCAACCAAATGGTCCAATATCTCGTTTATTGCCTTCCTTCAAACGCAAATTCGGTTTAGATTTTATTTCAACTTCGGCGAAACGGACATTAGATGTGAATATTTTTCGAATATATTTCCCTTTAACGATATTAAATAACTTTGACGAATTCATCTTTATAATTAATAATAATATATAAAAAAATTAGCACAACATAACCTCAAACGTCAATTCCATCTAGTTTTTTTTTTATGTAATTTAGGGGAATTTGCTTATAATAAGTTTATTACCCCAAATGGATGATGGCTTCTGAAGAACACATTCAACTTTCTGATTTTATTAAAAAAGTTCATCAAAACCTTCGTGTTAATACAAAAGTGTTAGGTTCTGAAGAAGCTTGGAAACAACATTGCGAAAATAACCACCAATTGGAACGATATGCCGAGTCAATGAAGGTTTTGGCAACCAAATTTTGGTCAGAAAAAGAGGAAAAGACTACTTCTAGGATTTTATGGACTTTAGATTTATGTACAAACTATTTTAATAATTTAATTTTAAATTTGCAGTTAAAAGAATATGAAATAGCCCAAAAAATTAATCTTTCACTAAACTCTAAGGACCATATGGTAAAAAGTAATCAATTAAAATTGTTAGATGTGGGTAGTTGTTATAATCCTTTTAAAGAATTTGATTTATTTGATGTAACCGCTATTGATTTAGCTCCTGCATTACCAGATGTCCTACAATGTGACTTTATTAACTTAAAAATATGTGAAATAACTAAAATATCAAACAATACCATTAATAGTTTAGCCCAAGATTCATTTCATGTGATCGTTTTTAGTTTATTATTAGAATACTTACCCACTCCGGAATTTAGATTTATTTGTTGTGAGAAAGCTTATAAATTATTAAAACCAGAAGGTTTATTAATTATAATCACACCTGATTCAAATCATGTCGGTGTTAATGCAAAGTTAATGAAAACTTGGAGATTTATTTTAGCTCAAATCGGTTTTTCAAGAATTAAATATGAAAAATTGAAACATTTACACTGTATGGGTTTTAGAAAGAGTTTAGCTAAAGAAACTAGTCAAAGATGGGCTAATATTTATGTCAAAAATGATTTATATGATAAAATTTATATACCACAAGATTTAAATAAAGAATGAAATTATCAAGAAATGATTGTAAATTACGATTTTTTGGAGTCGTACTTTTTACAAAATTATTTTGGGTTTTAGTTATTTTATTTTTCTATTAAAATAATAAACAAATAAATATAACTTCTTATCTTGCAAATTCAATTTATTTTAACGGAACCGGTTTCGACTAGTTTTACTTAGTCATCTTCAGCCGAATCTACAATTATATTTTAATTACAATTTAATAATTAAAAGTTAAAATTTAAAGCAATTTTATTTTTCATTTTGTTGGAAGTATAACCAACAAACTCATGCAGAAGTAGCCTTAGCTCCCTGTAACATTGTTGAAGCCAAAGTCTGCGTAAGTTTCGTCTTTTGGAATGGAAAAGAACGATATATTTAAACCAATAATCTTTGATATGTTGTTTGATGAGCGATAAGTTCTAATTGCTGTCGCAAGAAATACGCATCTAAAATCATAAATTTACAACATATGATAACAAATATCACATATAGAATTACATTACTATTAAATTATTTAAATATAAGTTAGTGTGGTCAAACAAATCATAAAAATAGTTAATACCAAAAAAACGTCAAATAGCCTATAACATATGACGTCAGCGTTCATCATAGTGCCCGCGAATGTTATTTGAAGGACATCAGTAACTTTGTCAATACCAACATTACAATGACTCTTACTTTTAAAAAGAAAATGTCTTATATTTATTCAAAAATTGATAGATAAATATAAATAAAATATATAAAAAAGATAGATCATGATTACATAATAATTTTTTTAAATAGATTTAAATAATAATTAAAATTAATTTAGTAATTTTAAATGGATACTACAAAATAAATTGGCACCACTGTAGAAATATGTCATACTGACCCAAAATAGAAAAAAAATACTACGTTTATTTTAAATTATCAACGCAAATAAACAATAGGAACATTAAGATAAGCCGATAATTACTCATTTTTAGTTGATTGTAACGTAACCAAAAGCAATGACTAACCTGTATCCTTTCGCGGCTTTTATGGTAAGTTTGACACATAACCTTTAAAACATTGTAAATTTGCTAATTTTGGTTTATACTTAACAGAACGTGGAAAGTTCTCGTGCTTACGTAGATGACTTGTACTCAATGGATTCCGATAAGTGTTTGGCATCGTTAATTTGTATAAAAAATTCAGTTATTGGGTCTAATAAGCAAAAAGAAAGTGTGATAGAGCAGGGTATTGTTACAAGATTGATACAATTAGCTCAAGATACAGACATGAAAGTTGAAATAAGATATGAAGCATTGATTATATTGGGATCCCTAGCTAAAGGAACTCCTTCGCAAGTGGAAGTTTTATTAAAATTTGGAACTGGGCCAATATTATTGGGTATTTTGGAAGAATCCCATAATCGTTTAATAGATCCATCCTTAAGGTTATTAAGAACCTTATCTCAATACGGTGATCCTAGTTTTTCATCAAACTACTCTACCAAACAATTAGAAAAGCTTTTAAGTTACATGAACGAAGATTCCTCGTTATTGAGGCAATCTTGTGTGGCTACAATTTTAAGTACTGCCTGTCGATGCATGATGGAACAGAACAGTTTGTGTTCTGTAGGTGCCCCTCAAATATTAGCTTCAGTACTTGCAATACCGAATACGGAAATAAGAGTTGCTGTATTAAAATGTCTTTCCGCCATGTGTTTTGAAAACCGAACTGTTGCTTCTGAAGTAGCAGGTGCTACTTCTAGATATGGTTCCGTACAAGTTTTAAATCTACTTACATCTTTAGTCAGCAGGGATAAACCTGTCGAAATGCAACTTGAAGCAGCTAAATGTCTTACAAATATTTATCGAGCTGGTGCTATACAATCTTCTGATCAAATAATTACTTTTCGAACATTACCATGTCTTGTTCGATTATGTTTGGTAAATTTTGATTTTATTGTAATATTGATTTTTTTGATTTATTTAATTTTATTTGTAGCCAGATCAAAAAGAAGATCTTAGGTCATCGGCTGCAAATATACTTGCCTACTTGACTGAGGTTGATAGTAATTTACAACAAATTGCTGCTATTAGTAATCAATTAGTGGCTACTTTAGCTGATTTACTTAATTGTAAAAGCAGTGCAGCAAGAACTGCAGCTTTTAGGTAAATGATTAATTTATTTTTAACTAAATAAGTTATTGTTATGTTATTATAAAACGTTCATAGTGCTTTTGCATCATTGGGAGCAAATAATGAAGAAATTCGTAAACGAATAATCGAAACGCAACGTTTAATGGAACGCGTAGTAGATGGTTTAGCCGATCAAGATGGAGACGTCCGTTTAGCAGCAGTTCGTTGTCTTCATTCTCTAAGTAGATCAGTTCATCAATTGCGCACTACATTTCAGGACCACTCTGTTTGGCGACCTCTAATGAGTCTTTTAACCGGTTCCGCGTCCACAGAACTTTTAAGCGCGGCATCATCCGCTTTATGCAATCTCCTTCTTGAATTCTCGCCAGCGAAAGAACCCATGTTACAACAAGGGGTTATTCAATTTTTGGTTGAATTAACGAAAAAACCCGAACCCGTTTTACGTTTAAACGCGGTGTGGGCGTTAATGAATATGACATTTCAAGCAGAGCAAAGGATAAAATCGGCTATATTAACAACTTTAAACACCGATCAAATATTTCGGTTATTAGCCGATTCGGATGTACAAGTTTTAATGAAAACTTTAGGTTTATTACGAAATTTAGTATCGCCAAGGGCGCATACGGATTCAATGATGGCGTTACATGGAACTCAAGTTATGCAAGCGGTTGTTTTGGTACTGGAAGGGGCGCATTCTCCGGAAGTTAAAGAGCAGGCTCTTTGCATTTTGGGTAATATAGCGGATGGGGAGCGAGCTAAAGATCATATCATGGCGAATGAAGATGTTTTAAAGAAATTAATGGCTTATATGACGCATAGCGATAGCAGTTTACAGACAGCGGCGATATTTTGTATACAAAATTTAGTTAGGAGAGGGGAACCTGGTTATGCTGAGCGGCAGGCGAGATTGAGGGATATGGGTGTTCATAATATTTTACATCAACTAGTCACTACAGTTAGCGATAGTGTGCTACATACAAAGTAAGTATTTTTTGATTTACTATTTTTTTTTTTTTTAATAGTTATTTTAATAATTTTTTTTTAAATTTTAATTTAATAATTTGGTTTATAATGGTTTTTATAATATAGTATGTTCAATTAAAAAAGCTTTAGAATGCCCCTAAAAATTTGATACTTCAATAAGTTTTACAATTTAAGTTCAGAGCTAACTCATTAGGTTTAAAAAATTAAATCTGGAATATTTGATAAGTTTTACATTATAAACATAATCAAGTGTAATTCTTAGCTTAATCGAATGATTGGAGTAGTCCACAGAAGGAAGCATAAAAATATAACAGTCTAACATATGGTGAGAGTCACCCAATATACAGGGTGATTCACATAAGAACCGACACAGAGCAGGGACATGTAGAGGACAATAAATTAAGATGATTTAACGTAACTTACCTCTATACTAAGTTGTACACCTGAGGAGTTATAGGCCTTCAAAGTTTGCTCTTAAATTTTTAAAAAGTTCAATATCTTTGTAATACATTAAGCTAGAAAAACCAAATTTGGTATACGTTATGAGTGTACCAAGGGTATTAATTGGTAGCAAATTGAACTCAATTGAGGCGTTTCAAAGGGTTGATTAAGGGTGATGGTACCCTAAATTTGGACAGATTTTTTTAACCTTTTGGCGGATTTAATACATTACTACTTCATTTCATGTGGAATTTAATTCTAAAACTTTTCTTACTCTTATTATTTTTTAAAAAACTTTGTCGTTCTCATAAAAAACTTAAATAACTAAAGACACTTATTTCGTAATGTTACTTAAAATAAGCGAAAATTCAGTAGTTGGCTATGAAATTGTATGTCAAACTTGACAAATAGGTTATAAAGTTATTTGACGTCAAGGATTTTGAACCTATTTGTCAAGTTTGACGTACAATTTCACACAAGATATTCAATATTTTAAAAATTTAAGACCCAACTTTGAAGGCCTATAACTCCTCAGGGGTACAACTTAGTATAGAGAAAAGTTGCTTTAAATGATCTTAATTTATTGTCCTCTACATGACTCTGCTCTGTGTCGGTTCTTATGTAAATCACCCTGTAGAATCCAAAATGCCACTAAGGTTATTGAAAGTAAATGAAAAAGGACCATTCACTAAATCAACATTGTCATGGAAATGAGAGAATCTGCTCCATTTTAGAATTATGGACAATGATGTTTCAATGGTGTTAGTATATTACCATAGTATAATGGGAAATCACGTCTAGATTAATGCAATCGATGGTGCTACAAAAATCCGCAATACTTATATGCATACATAACAAAACGATCAAATTTTTATCATCATACTTTGTATGTTATCTATTATCCTGACTAGAGCAGTGGATGCTGATGTGGACCAAGAAGTAAGAGGATAATATCTCCTTACCTCTTACACACAAAGAGATCATGTGCCATTTTTCTTTATTTATTATATTTTTCATTTCTGGGAATGTGGAAGTTTTAACAGAATAGCTAACGATGAGTCAATAAGGGAGTTGTACAGGGTGGTTCAAATTCGATGTCCTAATAGGCTATCTCCGAACTATAAGAGTTAGAAAAAAGTAGCTTACATGTCATGATCTCGTTTTTCGAGAAACCGCTAATGCCAAAAATCTCAAAGCGCTATCGTCTTTAGTTTTTCCCCTAGAGGCCAAAATTGAAAATATCGTAAAACCAGCAAGTGCAATTATCATGGTTATTATTATAGGTGGAGTATTATAACTAAGACATTATATGGACACTTTTTTACAGAGAATTTGATGACGTAGACAAAAAAAAATTTTCGCTTTTAGATTTCTAGATATTATGACAATTTTCGTTTTTTTAAATGGAAACAATCACTGATTATTCGCTTATTAAATTCGTTATTTTTTCTAATTACAAAAATATGGTGTTATATAGGCCTATTTCTTATTGTTTTAGAATAAAGCTAAAAATAAAAATAAACTTGTCGTCAAAGAAATTAAATTTACAGTTTCCTGTAAATTACGGCACTATAACTAAAAATTATTCTACAAAAAATTTATATAAAATTTACTTTATTTTCTAATATGTAACATTCTAACATGTTAAACTTTTGGTAATTTTCGTAATCCATCTTAAACAACAGGATTTTTAATTTTGAGAAAACTTTTGTATACAAACAAATGTTGCTATGTTTATTTGAATTAAATAAAATAAAGTCCTTAGATTTACAAAGTACCGCGGTTTGACACCATTTTGGCTCGAAAGTCAAGCGGGAAATATTAAAAATTAAGTCGTGAGATGCAGTGACAAGCTGTCAAACCCAGTCAAACCGCCATTTTGGCTCGAAAACAGGCTTCATGAACCGCGGTACTTTGTAAATCTAGGGACTTTAAAATAAAATATATATGAGCGCCATCTATCAATAATTTATTAAGTCATTTAATAATATTAAATATTAATAAAAAATGTGAAATAATGCAATCTATTCCAACGTTTGTGTAAAACAAATATAAATTAAATAGTTTAACAATTGTATTTGTTTCAAATATCAGAAATATGTTTTTTTTAATTTTTAGTTATTATTTACAGGAAACTGTAAATTTAATTTCTTTGACAACACTAAAAAAAAAGTTTATTTTTAGCTTTATTCTAAAACAATAGGAAATAGACCTGTCAAACCCTATATTTTTGTAATCAGAAACAAATAACGAATTTAATAAGCGAATAATTAGTGATTGTTTCCGTTTAAAAAAACGAAAATTGTCATATCTCAAAATCTAAAACCGAAAAATTTTTTTTGACTACGTCATGAAATTCTCTGTAAAAAAGTGTCTATATAATGTCTTAGTTATAATACTCCACCTATAATAATAACCAAGATAATTGCACTTGTTGGTTTTACGATATTTTCAATTTTGGCCTCTAGGGGAAAAACAAAAGACGATAGCGCTATGAGGTTTTCGGCATTAGCAGTTTCTCGAAAAACGAGATCATGACATGTCGGCTACTTTTTTTCTAACTCTTATAGTTTCCGAGTTAGCCTATTCGGACATCGAATTTGAACCACCCTGTACAT